ATGTATAATTTATATCAACATGTGGCACTTCAAAACCAGTTTCCACACAAGCTCATCAAATCCACAATATTCAATGTAAAATGAAAGGAATCTATGATCAGCTCCTAAACTACACATTATATAAGGTAGCATCTGAAATAAAATATTACCATGAATAATTAAAATCTATGATTCACAATTTCTTTTAATTTTTGGTAAAGGTCTCTATGATTTTTTTCCCCTTTTAAAAGAGAACAATTCACTTGCTGTTTTAGAATACCAAGTTCTGAGAATCCTAACAGTTATTTTAGGGTATTATTATGACCATTTATTAAGCAATACGTTAACACCATGCAAACATAGTTAATCTCTGTACTCCAACAACCTCCTGTGTTTACAGGAATAAGATATGAGGTGCACTGAAAATAGTGCCATTTGAGATTTCAGTTTTCAGTATTTTGGTTATAAGGAATTATAAGATAAATACTTTCTCTTTTGAGAAAGGAGAACAGAAGAAAATAGGCAAGAATAAAAAAACTGAAAGAGGTGAAGAATGGAGAAGACATAGTCAAGGGAGAAGAGATGAGGATGGAAAGAATAAAATGGAATCAAAAGAAAAACCTAAAAAATAAAGATAACAATTTAGTAAATTAAAGAAGAGAGAGAAAGCACATCGGTGTTAACCAATATCATGGTACTGATTCCACTCAATGAGCCACTCCTTCCTCCTGAAGTCCAGGGGTGGGGTGGAAGAGTGAGAGGAAGGGAAAGGGAGAGCTGGGTTTTAATGGGTCACCACACTCTCCATCCATTCTGATAATGTTGCCTTCCCCTTTAAATAATACTCGCCTGTTGTTCTGGGGTTGAAGGAACAACAGGGTGAAAAAAGTCAAAAATGAGAGACTAGGGTGAGAATAAGAGAGAATAAGGGAGACACCTTTGAGAATTATATAAATGAAGTTAGAATGACATTTCCAGATAACTCAATAGTCCTTTAATTTGATCCCTTCCCTCACCGCCTCTGCCATCACTCGTAAGTCCTGTTCAACAATGTTTACCATTCGAGGGGTGACAAAACCCACTAGCTCACAGTGCTCATCTCCCATTTCTCACTCATCAATGTCCAACACCCTGACTATTTGTTGTAGCCTATCTTCTTGACTATCCCAACCTGGTTATTTTCCATTTCAGTAGGCCTTATAGCCACATCTATTAAGCCATTTCTTGCCATAATGTAGTCATCAGGTTCCAGAAGACCTTTTAAAATAATAGTGAATGTTTTAATATTTACACAAAGGAAAATTTTCTAAACGCTAGATTCAACCATCACATACCTCACTCTTTTCAACTGATATTCCTAAGAAAAAAATATCTGTTTTTACTATGGATAAAATCTTTAGAACACTTACACACCAAAAACAGTATTGACATGAAATTTAACAGACTCATTAGGAATATGCCCAAATTGATTTAATAACTATAAATAGTCTCATTAGCTAAAAAAAGTTTAAAAGTGCATCATGAGGGCAGAGTTGCCGGTTCAAACTATGCCGAGGTATCTCCCAGAGAGGAATGTAGTGACAGATGAAGTGGAAAAAATCTTGGGAGATTCCAGCAGCCATTGAGGAGTTGGATCTTCACTGGCAGGGAAGACATGCAATAGGACTCAGTCTGCTTTGCTTGAATGTTCATGATTTTTTCTTCTTTCTACCTGGCAGCCACAGTTTCTCAGCCACAGAAGTATGTTGATTAGAAAAGCTTAAAAGCCACTTATAATAAAAAATATAGCAACATGAAAAAGGACATAAAATTTCCAATTTCATTTCAAATAAGAAAATATACTTAAAAAAAAGAGCAAACTAGAAACACACATCTAATTGGACAACCTGAAGATATACCATACTAGCAATTTCAAAAAATAGTATTTGAATTCATCTGTGATTATTCAATCTTTTCAGACTCTTAGGGAAAAAATTCAAATTGCTTTTCTATGTATTTTAAAATAAGAAAAGTTATCAAATTTTATATTGTACATTACTACCTGTAGCAGTAGGAAATTTTAGAATTACAGAAAAATACTAACTGGGCTAATAACAGTCAAAATATAAGATTGAACATTACTCTTTTCATTATTAAATCTAAATTGGTATAGAATAATATTGGCAATATCTAACTATCCTGGTCAATTAATTACTGGATTAGAAATATTATTAAATATGTATTTCAAATGTATTAGGCCATACTTTAATGTAATTAGTGTATCATAAGCAACCACTAATGGTGATGAATACAGGAGGGTAGAAGGGGTAACTGCAGACTGCAAGTAATTTATACTTGTTTCAACTAATTTATCCATCTATCAAACATTTCACAGTAACAAAATCCAGATAATTTCCATTTCCCCACCTCAGTATGTTGTCTGGTAAGAACTTAAAAGCACTGTACAGACCACAATGCAGGCAGCAGCAAGGAAAAGAGGGCAGAGCAGGTTGCATTTAATAAAATGCACCATTCTTGCACAAATATACCTCCACTTGAATACAAAGAAAATCTGGTAATTGATCACATTATTAAGGAAGGCTACTTTCATGGAATTCAACATAATTTCCTGTGAGAGAATGTCTCTATTATTATCCAAAATCAATTTGTAGGTTCTAGTAGCAGTCTGCCAAGAAACTGGACTCCAGTTGGCTCAACTGCTGTAGCAGGTAAAAGGGAGGAAGGAAGGTTGGAAAGTTAAATTTTATTGAGCTCCTAATGTGTGCCTGGCATTGCGACAGGTGTTTTATATATCTTGTCTATTTGAAGGAAAGGAGCGAGTGAGGAAGTGGCAGTAAAGTTAAATTTCAACCCCATTTCTAATTTCAGTTGCTGATCCACTATCCGAATTATGTACACTCTCACTTCCTTTTCTCTTCTCTTACCCTTGGCCCCACTTAATCCCTCTCTGAATCCTGAGATTCACTTACAAGATTGTTAGAATTCTTGCTCTTTTGTTTGATAATTTTATAATTTGAGTTGGGGAGGGAGTATAAAAAAACTTAAGTAAGAGCATGGGCCTTGGAGTCAGTGAGCTCTCAGCTATGGGTGAGTTAAATAATCATTCAATGTCCACATATGCCTTCTTCATAGGATTACTGTCAGGAGTAAATGACATAAAATATGTAAAGTACTTAACATGATGTTTGGCACACTGTAAGAACTCAGTAAGTGTTGGTTATGGCTATTACTATTATTAAAAAGAGAAACTGATGCATAAAATAGTTACCATGAGTCACTTAAAACCTAAGTCAATTTCAGAGCAAAAACTGGAAACAAGATCCTCCAATCATCATTCTGTGTCATTTTTAATATTATAGAATATTCCTGTGATGCAAAGATGTGCTTATATACTCTAATAGTATTTAAATATCACCAATTCATACAGATTTTATTAGTTCACTTGAAGTCTTTTAAAGACTTTCATATTTAATAGACTTGAGAATCTTCGCTCCGCAGAGAGTTATTTTTAACAATTTTATTTTTCATGAGAGACTAATTTCTATCCTTTTAAAATTGACCAACTGTAAATATAGGTCCAACTATCCAACAGATACTATATTCGTTAAGGTCACATTGCAGATATGGAGGCAGCATGAACGTGTGAAGAGCGAGAAGCTGCCTGTCTACTGAAGCAGCAGCTTTATCCCACTGCCCAAATCCTCATCGTAGGGGACAAAAAACTTCAGTCAGGACAATCACTTTGTATAGTTTCTAGTAATGAGAACTTACTCATCATCAAAACTGTCAGAGTGTGGAAAGGCTGTGTTGATTACCATCATTCTGCGTTATTATTAACTTTACACCCAACACGATTAAGTTTTCAAACTTTCATTAACTTTTATTCACTTAGATAATGAACTCATTGAAGAAACATCATAACTTTAATTATCAGTGTTCAGGAGTCTCCTCGAAATATCCCAAACTTCTCAGTTAATTCAAATCCAAAACTGAAATAATGTCTGCCTTAAGATTAGTCACTGAGAAAGATCAGACTTTTCACACTAGTCTTATCCTCAAAATACAGCCTTTTTTTTGTTTGTTTCTTTTATGACTAGAACATGCAAAACCAAATTTCGTTAAAAGGTATAGCAGGAAATAATTACTCACGCTGAAGAGTTAGTGAGCTATAAGTAGAATATTTACAAGAAAACCCATTTTTCTCAAATGAGGATTATTAATGAATAATCAATTATTTTAATTTTAACTTCATTAAAAAAAAGCCATACCCTTTATTTGGTAGTGATAGAACAAAGTGGACCAAATGAGACAGATAATAGTTCAAAATAAAAAAAAATATGATGTTCATTTTCCATGTAAGATTAAGAAAAATTGCCCTGGAAAATCTACCATAGGCACAGAATGTCACTGTCTTTCTCAGCCTAGAAAGGGATTCGTGAGGTTCATAGAACAAAAATTTTTATAAACTTATTTAGTTAAGTGCAATAGTTTTAAAACTTAAACTACAGTCCTCTTATGGGAAATGAAGAGCCAATTCAGCTATTAAAAGTTTTTAAAAATCGACATTTAAAATAAACCAGTCTGTCAGACATTTTAATGAACAAACCAATGTTAAAGTAGATGAATGCACGTGTGCTGTTACAAAACATAGGTATCGGGTAATCTGATAATTGTAAAATGACACTTAAAAATTGTATCAATAAAAGGTTGAATTTGTACGCACTATCACTTTAATTTCTATTCCAAAATCATCCCAGTTCATGGGATAATATTATCCTGCACTTCTCCATAAAGAAATGCACATCTAACCTCAGCCACCACCAATATTTCCTCATGTTCTTTTAAACTATACCTTACATTCCTTCAGATAATTAAGAAAAATAGTCATTCAGTTATTTTTTAAAAGGCTATTCAATTATTTTGTACAGAAACAAGCATTTCATTTCATTGGTATTCTTTTAAAGCTTTAGCCAATCTTTATATTAGTTCCTCCCACTGACTTGTAAGGTAATTATACATACCACAGTCTGATGATTAACTTGAATCACTTCATCACCAGCATGGATTTTCTTGCATCGATCTGCAGGTGACTAAATTTAACATAAAGGAAATGATAAAGAACATACGTTTTATCAGTCATTTCCTCTCTGTGGAAACACTATAGCAAGTCTAAGTCTTTAAAATAGATCAAATATTTATAATCTTCAAGACATTAAACTAATGAAAACAGCTACTAAAATTAATATACTGTTTGTATTCTATGTGTAACTAGAGACAGAAAGTAGAAATGCAAAACAACATATAGATGTTTATGTTATAAAAGACCAATATGTTTTTGAGAGCATTAAGGGAAAATGTAATTGGTATTAATCTTTGCAAACTTTATACAGACAACCCTCTTGGGCTCTACCACACAACTGGTTTAAAAATATATTTCAAAACAATCTTTTAAATTTTTATCTTTTGCATTTAATACAAATATTCATATTAATATCAGCAAACAAGTATTTTCAAGTACATGTTAATGATCAGCACCAAAGCTTAGGCAACCGATGATTAAATTGCTAATTTATTTCATCATTAATGTCATCAATCCTGAATAAATGAGAAAAGCAAATTAAAAGATGGACAGCCATTAGTGCAAAGTTGCATTACACAACATTCTTTCTCTAAATGTCTAATTACAAGAGTATCTTACTTCTTATGTTTCATAAAGCGTAATATATTGGCAAACAAAACCACACTAAATAAATTAAAATGCCAACATTTCTACAGGATGTAACAATATTATGATTTTTTTCTTTATTTCCCAAAGTGATTAAAAACAAAAACAAACAAGCAACATTCACAAGTTTTATGAAGTGTTTAGGAAACTAAAATGAGATTTAAGATAGAAATTTTATAATATTATAGATATACATAATGAATTTAAAATATTATTCTTTATCTCCCCTCTAGTGACTACTGATTGACTATGCATATTATTACACATTTTAATAACATGCACACAGACTCTTGAATATACATATTTGTTTTTACGAAAATTTTTTGTGCATTTTATGTGCATTAATTTATCTATCAAATACAACTACAAATACTGTAATACTCTTCATGAGTATCTACTGAAAGCTAAAGAAGAATGATACGTTGATGGAATCTGCAAACTAAAATGCTACTTTTAAGAACTGGAATAGGATTTACTTTAAAAGTGATTTCCAGTTCCTTTAGTTTTTATTCATTTCCAGTTTCCAAAACAAAGAAGTCTTGAAACAATATTAACCTCAATTCAGCACATTTAAAAATTCACAATAAAATTATTTGCCATAGGCTAGAATCCAAGATTAGATGATATTCCAGGGAATTCCAGTTACTAAAGTAATAACACAAGCATACTGTTTAGAAGGTAGTTCAGCTAGGATGTGAACCCAACCCTTAGAATGGTGTAACAACAACAACAACAACAACAACAACAAAACCCCCAAGTATTTATTTCACAGCACCTATCACATCAGACAAGTACCATGTAACATTTCTGAAAAATTTGTAAATAGAGCTGTAACTATAGAGTCAGCCCCTGAGCTATATGGCTCACAACTGATCTTTTTAAAGGAGAGTATGAAAAAAAAAAAATCAAGCCAATGGCTCTAAGTCACGATGTAAAAGAAAATGACAATTGGTATATAAAGTTCAAAGAAACTGAAACAACTTTTTACACAGGTAAGTAAAACAGGGAATAAGTCACAGAAAGTATAGACTTTCAGTGTTAAAAGGGATCCTAGAGATATTTTATCCAAACCTCTTCACTTTACATAGAAGAAAACACGTTAGTGAGCAGCTTTAAGACTTAACACATATCTGCTAATGATAAATGACTAAGGGTACCAAAAATAGTAAAACGTTTTCAAGAAAAAAGAATTAAATGATGAACTGTTAATATATAGTTCTTATCTGAACTATTCACAAATCAATCTTTCTTTGGTCACTCATCCATTTATCAAATACTGAGTAATTAATATGAGCAAAATTAGTATGAGTTAAACTTTTTTTTTTATAGATTCCAGACAGTATAGAGAGAGATGTATTCATATCCATTCAAGATACAGTTAGTTCAAAATCACCATTTCCGTGATTCCTTCTCTGATTTCACTTGGCAGCATTTACTATTTTTCCCTTTGTCCATCTATGCAAATTTCACTACCTATTTACACAAATAAACCCTTATTTGTACTCCTTAGAGGCAGCAAGCCATTTTAATTTAAAAATTCTTTCAATACCTAGCCCTAACCCTGGAACACAGTAGACATGAAGCAGAGGTTTGTTAAATGAATGATCAGAGGAATGTACATATAAAAGAGAATGATCAATCAGTGACAAGAGTATAGTTTACAGTACCTCACTTCATTTAAAAATGTTAAATAATTGACAATATGCATGCAACCAATACTCTTGATCCCATATAAGTCTCATATTTAACACCAAATGTGAAGCTAGTACATGAATCCAATGTAATACATATTGTGTTTCACCCTTCACAAGAAACCAAGAGAAGCAGAGGGGGAAAAAAAATCAATAAATGATTAAAGCAAAATAGGTGAATTAGATGAAGAGAATGTCAACTTTTTAAAAAGAAAGGCTGGTAAAATGTTGAGATCAATAATAGCTCGAGAGTAACTGATTTCACCTCAGTCTTCTTTGAAGGAACACAGCATAAACATGTAATTTGTCAGAATTTCTAAAAGAAAAAATTCAAAGCACAGCACTTGCTTAAGAGAGTGGGGTAGAAATCTGGGACAACCAAACGCAAGAATAATGACTTAATATGAAATTCAAATCTATTATACTGATTGTGTTAATGTCTAACACAATCACTTCCCATTTTTGTAGCTCTTTATAGCATAGTCTTTCATATTTACTAGCTTATTTGATTTTCATAACAACCTAATGAGGTATATAGTGCAATGATATATTATCTTCAATTTATAGTTGAGGAAATTAAAGCAATGAGAGGGCAAATGAGTGGCCAAAAAATTACACTGCCATTAAGATGCAGAATAGGTTATAGGGACTCTGACCCACTGCTTGCAGTGGTTCTCAAACTGAAGCATGTCTCAGAATCATCTGTTAAAACAGAATCTCTTATTAAGAAATAGGCTGATCTCCAGAGTTTCTGATTCAGTAAGTCTGGTGTGGGGCATCTCTGAACACATTCCCAAGGGAGGCTGATGCTGCTGGTCCAGGTAGGGACGTTACTGTGAAAACACGTTGATCTATTTATCATGCTGCCACTCCACTGAATTAAGCTGAATTATACTTCAAGTATTCCAAAAGCCTAACTCATCTGATGTTTTTATCTTGTGTTGAGTTAAGTTTCTTAACAGAACTAAACTATTTGACAGATGGAAGTGTATTATTTTAGATGTCACAATAACTTGTCATGAATCAGAAAATACTTAACAAAGATGAGTCTCTGCCTACAAACAGAAAACATCTGACTTACTTCAGGTAAACAGCTATTCTAAACTAACTAAAATGACTGAAATTCTCCCCAAACTAGTACTTACTACCTCAGTATGTCTTTTTAGTTTTATCTCCCAATCTGTTCATGTCCTCAGAAGTTAACCTCAATTATGTGAGATATACAAGTTGTTTAACAGTAAAAGGAAAAATACACACCAAAATTTGAAATGTTAGAATACTTACATTTTCTGTAGTTCCAGTAATTACATGGAGGCCATCATAAGTTGATTTAATATACATACCCTAAGAAAAAACACAGCATCAGAAAAACAAGTGAAGCAAACTGAAATATTTTCAAGTTTATTGTAATTTCATTTACAAAAAAAATTGTCCTATCAAATTAAAATTGCCCCAGGGATGATTCCATGATCCAGCAAGGCTGTCTTTAAACTGGTAAGTTCCTACCTGAATGTTCTGGTTTCTAAAGTTTGCCTAAAGAAGCCTGTACTCAGCTTAACCAAATACTCGATAAGTTGATAATTGCCTATGAAACTTATAAAATGCAGCATGGCGATTCAATATCCTGAAGAAAGAACACACCTCACTCCCCTTGAAATCCATACCATATGTTCTATGACAAAATGAAAGTTACAAAGGGAAATTCAAATACTGGGATGTTATTAGCTTATTATAATTGATAGATATTGCTCAATAAAAAGTAGGTTTCTACAGAACCACTTTAACTGCTGGAGACAGAAGAATGATAAAATACTGTTTATAAAAACCTTTTTTCTTCTGCTCTTTCGTGTTATCTTACATTTTCTATTTCTTATTGATAAAAGTTTTAATAATTACATCCAATCATCTCTATATCAATAATTAAGATGTAATGCATGGCAAATCTTCCTCCCAATAAAGAGGGTGAGATTCCGTTCTCCATTTAAATAAAGCCCTTTTAGAAAAAGCTTTAAAGTTTAAAGATTATCCAGAAATCTTCAAACTGTGCAAGTTTTAAGAGCAAATGAAAGCTTTAAATTATGCATAGGGACAGGACATTAAAAAAAAAAATCACAAGAAAGTGTTCACATTTTGAATACTGAAATATTTTCATTTAAGTAAATCAGAAAAAAAATAAATGATTCAGTGAAGGCCTTTTTTCCTTGTGTGAGGAGAATTCTGTTACTTTAAATTCTCTTTGGGGAAAAAAAATCAGAGTTTTACTTCAAAAGTGCTTTGCATTTCAAAATACTGATTTTAAAAATTAAAAAATACTAATTTTAACAAATGTGAAGTCTAAAGTATAAGGGACTTAACAATAACTAACAACAGCATTTCAGAAAAAGCATTCATTGAAGCAATTATGTAAAGTAGACAACTACTATGCTAATTTCCCATACCTTTATGTCAATTATAAATTTAGATACTTGAATGTACATGTGTTTTCATTGAAAATAAGTAAGAAAAACAAGAAGCAGTAAGTTCATGGTATGGAACTATTAAGAAGTCATTGGGTAGGTTTTAATTCTGAAAAGTCATTTCAATAATGTCATATGTCTAAGATGTTGGCATTAGTTCCAAAAATGGCCGAAGCTGGGTCTCTAGTGTGAAACAAAATGAATGCAATTTTGAAAGATGTTCATTTATCTGTGAATTCTAGTTTCTTATATGAAAGTTCACCAGTTTATACAAAATACATAACTAATCTCAACAAAAGTACAAGTAGAATTAATTAAGAAATTGGCTAGTACTTCTTGGCTATAAACATGTGGTAATATTCAACTATATACTGGTGACAACTGTATAAAATAGTTTTGAGGTTAATATTTATCACATTATTTATTGGAAGATAATATAATGGTGCTACTATAGAACCTAGAAGAGGACAAGATCCTTGCAATCTTTTCCCCCACAGGAATTAACAAAATGACATCAAATTAATAAAGGATCTTCAAGTACATTTGTAAGACCTAAACATTAAATTTTGTTTTAGTTGGTTTACATAGAAGGATTATGAGAGGATTAAGTGGAAAAGGCCAATGAAAGAAGCAATATATATTGCTTGGACACACAAAACAATCATCACTCATCATTATTTATCACCATCATCACTAACATCTACTTGATAAAATGTGCTAGGGACTGTCATAAGTGTTTAACATTAATTTCACAGTAGTCTATGAGACATAAACTATCATTACCTCTGCCTTAGAAGTAAGGAAACTAAGGTACAGAGAGGCAGGGCAGTTGGCTCAAGGTGAAGCCAGGTTTCAAGACCAGGCAATCTCACTCCTGACCACCAGGCTCCTAATTTACAGATTTATTGATAGTTAGGAAAGTTGTACACTTTCACTTTTCTTATTAGAACATATTTGGCAACTGTAGATATTGAGTCAAAACATTCACTGTTTAACATCTATTCTAAAAAGACTAAGACTTCTCTAGCACACATACATTCTGTGTAATGTGAGAGTTCAAGATTTGCAGATACTAATATATATGCAATAGATAAACAACAAGTTCATACTGTATAGCACAGGGTACTCTATTCAATATCTTGTAGTAACTTATGGTGAAAAAGAATATGAAAATGAATATAGCTATGTTCATGTATGACTGTAGCACTATGCTGTACACCAGAAATTGACACAACCCTGTAAACTGACCATACTTCAAATCTATCTATTTATCTACACAAAAAAAAGAGTAACTGGATTAGATATTCTATAAATTTATTTTAATCACCCATTTCTTCTGACAACTCGAAGCAGAAGTTTATTATATTTGTCTCCACACTTCTTTCAACACTGCATTACTGATTATGAATTAAAGTGTTTGACAAGAGCTCTACATCGTTTCATAAATGATCAGGTCATAGAGAAAGTCTAGTAACCTAAGTAAGATAAATGTTTGGAAAAGACATTATAGTCATTGGGATAATAGGAAATCATGGAGATAATCTAGTTATAACTTAGGAAATAAAATTTGTATGTAATTATTGCACATACCAGGAACTTTAAGTGGCAATTGTAAGCTAAAGCAAGTATCTAATAGTTATAGGAAGAGGATTTCATCATTATTTATATATAATTAAATGTTATATAATTTATATTTAATCTAATTTTTTTCAGATGGATAAAAATATAAATGCTTAAAGAAGGATCTTAGCTATGTGTACAGAGTTCAATTCTAGCAACTTCAAAGTTATGAGCAATAAAATAGAAATAAAGCACATTTTTAAATGCCCCAGAGAATGAAGATATTTTGTTTTATGCAATATTTCTGTTTCTAACCTAAATAAACTATTTGTTGTAATTGCTTTTAATAATCAAGACTGACTTCTTCATCCTTCTCATCTCCCTCTTGCAGTACTAATGAGAAAAATGGCCAAAAGTCAGGCACCAAAAGAAAGTAAGAGAAGAAACAAGTTGCTTGGATGAATTTCAAATTAATCATCTTCTGAATAACGAAGAGTCCACAGAAATACATCTCATCACCTGGTCGCCTCTGAGAAATGGTCAAACAGCAGGAGGACATGTAATTCAAATGGTTCTTTTTTCTGGCACTGAGACAAATGTGGTCTTCCATTTCATCAAAATTTTCATTCTTCTTTCATTTTTTTTAAACCAATTAATTAATTCTGGAGCTGACTCGAACAGATCCCTCTCTTTAGCTCATCTTGCCAAAATAACATTTGCTTCACTGTTTCCAAAAGTCAGTTAACCATCCGGAGCCAAAGCAACCTCATAGTCAAGTCAATGGAATAAGGCATAATTGGAGATAGTCCAAGTGCCTAAAGAGCAGAAGAACTCTGAGGCAAAGAGGCTTCCCCAAGGATGACCCCCAAGCCCTTTCCTCTCTTTTCAACCCATCTCTTGGCTCTGATCTAGTTCTGATATGTTCCAGTAGCTCTCATTTTCTTTCCTTTAGTTTTCTGCCAATTATTGCTGTTTAAAAGCATTTTAGACCAGTTTGATAGGTTTTAACCATTACTAAGCATGCTTCCCATCATTCCTTATAATGCCCAGGACTCAAAAATAAGAAGTCCTAGGAGATAGGACTAATTAGGTAGAAAGCTGATGAACAATCTATCCAGCTTATTAGCGCAAGAACAGAACAGTTACTATTTACCTATGAGAGACATTCGGTTTTGAAACAGGCAGAAGAGCTTCTGCAGATGTTTTAAGCTGATTAAACTTCATTAAAGCTTGGTACTCTCCCACCTCTTTCTATTTCTTTCCTTCATTTAGACACTTCCTATGGCTAAGCACATGTTAAATGTTACCAAAATCCTCAAATCTATTTCAAATGTGACTGACAAAACTTACTTAAAAGTGGCTGGTTTTTACAATGATACCTTGAGTAAGTCACATAAAAATTCTACTTGGTCGTCTCCTCTTTAAAATGAATCACAAGAAATAGTTTTATAATTAACTCTTTTTATTAATATTCAATATGCTAGGTTTTTCTTTTCCTCTCTTGGAAATACTTTCCCAATGAAGTGCTGACGACTGTTCTTTAGAATGGATTTTTCTAAGTAGTTCCAGTTTTAAAATAATCCCCCTAAACTTCTCATATGTCACATTACCAATTTCAAGTTTAAATGTGGGATAATGGAACAAGCTTTCATAAGATGTACCTCATTTAGATTTACCTGGATTTAAACCCTGCCTCTAATGTGTATTTACCTGTATGTCACACAGGGCAAATTGGTGAAGATGTGTAATTCCATTTTCTCATGTGCAAAATGAGAAAATTAATACCTACTCTATAGAGCTGTGAGGATGATACCTGGCAAATGGTAGGCACTTCCTTTCTTTTCTCTTGAAGCTCTTTCCCATACTAACTGAATCTGGTTCTTAGCATTTTAAGTTCATGACTATTCCAAAGAGCAGACTCGGATCTACTTCCCTGGAATTAAAAAAGTAAAAGACCTGTCCAGGGTTATCCCTTCATTAAGAAAAACACCACCACCAAGACTTCATCCAGTCTGTTAATTAGCACTGTGTTGACTCACTTCACATGGTTATTTTTCCCCATAATTTCAGTGGAAATTAGAGGGAAAAAAATCAGGCTCTTTTCTCAGAACAATACCATTCTTAGAACCACAAACTTATAGAGCTAGAGGAAGCTATAGAGAGGAACTAGTCCACTCCTTCCTGCCCCCAAAATTCTGCAGATGAAATATCAAGGCCAAGGAGGTTAAATTTACTCCCTCACCTCCAGATCACACTCACAGCTATATTTTATGTAAGTGATTTGCATCCAGGTTTTCTGACTTCTAGTCTAATATAATATATTAGTTCATAATTTCCCATTCTACAAATCATGCTTAGAGAGCTTTCTTTCCTTCAGAACTAATGAAAGGGTAAGATATAGAAAGGAAAATCTTTAATAGGTGGAAAGATGTTTTAATTAAAACTGTACTTTGCAAAGTTAACAAAAAAGAATACTAAGAATGTAAAATCATCATTATTACTTCAAGTAACTTTATAAATGTTAGAAATAAGATTTTAAAACTAATCAAAGTTAGATATAACACATAGGTTACAATGACAACATACTTTGGCTATGTCTTAGATGCTGGTTTCCATCTTTCCAGGAAAACATGGATAAAAGCCACAAAAGCACGAGGAGCTATGGTTACCCAAAACTAAGTTGCTACATATCAGGAGAAAAGTCACTCTATAGAACACATGGCTTTAAACTAAAAAAAATCACTGGTAATCAATGAAGGCTTTCCCCTCGGTTACAGTTATATAGATATACATATACAACTGAAGAAGAAAACCCATGTAAGAATTTACCTGCTTAGAGAGCTTTAAGAATATATTATCTGAATTAAATTGTTAACACTAGTTTCCAAGATTGCTATTTCCTAAAATATCATTAATAGTATCCTTAGAAAATTCATCTATAAGGAGAAAGTAGAAACACCGTAGAACCAAACTAACATGTAACAGTTGTGTAGTAGGTAAGATATTTTCTAGCCAGTTTCTTGGTTTTTTTGTTTCTCCCTCATTAATATTAATATTATATGCTTTCTTTTTAGAGGCTTATTAAAGAAAAACTTCTCCCTTGGGTTAAATTTAGAACCAATGCAATTTTTAATCAGGTGAACAAAATACAGAAAATGATTATCTTTATTATTATATAATAAAAAATACATCTCATAGATGTTAGCCTTGTTTTGGCAATAGCCATCTGCTTACTCACCCTTAAAAGAAAGAATGGATGAGAGTTATAAAGAATATTGAGTTTGTTTAGCTTACACAACCTAAGGGAAGAGAGACCTATTAAAATTGCAACAAATAAAAGCATAATAAACAAAACAACCACTTGCATGGGTAAGGTAACACTATGGTTCTTAATTTAAACTTTCTTTAAACCTAAGGAACTTTGGTAGGGGGTGAAAAATATAATTAAAGCGAATTTATTTATCAAAGTAAATAGGATAATTCAGAAATCACCATTTAAACTTCTCTTTCATTTATCTCTACAAAATTTCTTATAATGACTAACTCCCATTACCTTAATTCCTCTAGAAAAAAATACCAAAACATTCAAACTTTATTAAAATTCATAGATTCCCATATTTGGGGGCTGTTCTGCCCAAATCATTAGCTGTTGGTGGATGGAGGCTTTGATAAACATGGTATCTCTTACCAGCCCTTCACTTGGTTTAATGTTTGCCAGCTGAATCACTTCAAGGTGGGCAGACTGTGAAACCAGAGGATCTGAGGACAGGGATATGATGTGGTCACAGACTCCAGAAAGAGTTTTACACTGAAAACAACAAAAATTATGGTAAACACATGTTGTAAGTAGCATAAAGATCACTTTTTATTATAACATTTTTTTACAAGGAAAAATAAAAGAAACAGTAGAAGACAGTAGTTGGCATTTTATTCTATAAAATCTGTATTAAAAAGGTATTCAGGTTAAACAACACACCTATATTCTAAATTATGGATATAAGAACTATGCAGCAAAATATTCAAGGAAGTTATGGTTATGTTTTGTTTCCATTATTTGATTCATCTGACCTAAAATAAAATGATTGTTTCTAAATAATCTTAATAATCTGAGAACTTATTGATAACAACTACTGGATGGAAGTGAATTCAATAATTTAGAAAACGTTGATGGTTTTTACTTCATAATTAGAAAAGTCAAAAAAAAAAAAATTCCAACCAAAGTCCAGGGAAGATGAATCTCCCAAATCTGCTTGGTGAACTCCTTCTACTTATTTGTCTACTTTTTCCTGCTCAAGGTTACCTTTATATAAAGTTTGCCCCCTCCTCCAGGCAAAGTCTGGCACTTCCTCAATCCTGCTTTCTTAGTATTCTAGGAACAGTCTAAAATTGCACGATGACTCCATTCTAAAACCCTCTAAGGCATATACTATGTCCTACTCATCTGACTTGTCTTCCTGCCCTATCCATAACAGACAAATCCTAACACATATAAGGTACTCAATAAATATAAGCTGAATAAACTGAAAAGCAAATGACCTTTAACAATTAGTAGATTGGCTTGACTGTGGACAGAAAGCTAGTGCTTATAGTTAGGACAAATCTATTCATGCTGATAGAGAATAATAGATTTTAAATGTATGTTATATCCAGAATGGTATGGTTAAGTCTTGGACATGGTAAAATCATCAATAAATAAGAACACAGGTGAATGAAGCTTGGAATATAGTGTTCTAAAATGTTCTGGCCCTTGGATGCTTCATAGACTTAATGTACTTACTGAAGCCTGATTGTTCACCATTTGAGACTGTTTTATTATATTATTTATTTATTTATTTATTTATTTATTTATTTATTGCCTTTACTGTAAGAGGACCCACAATTTTGCAGCACTCAGGGTGTGACCTTCTATCCATCTTCAACATGTTACATTCGTTCTGTGACCACTGCATCACTCTACTGTAAGGGAGATAGTTCCCTCTGCCTGCTCAGGATAATGACTTTATTTGCTACATTTCATAAATTGTCTACAGCCTCAGTCTGTGCTGGGTTCAGCTTCTTTACTCCACAGAAACTGACAGGCTAAATTTCTCTCCCTCATTGCAGTCCTGCTTTTTGCATCTGCTTCTCAATACTGCACTTTTATTGTGGCTATCAGCATCTACGGACTGACAGTGGCCAGCATGGAAAGAACATGGGCTTGGTACGAAGAGATTTAGGCAATCCCCACACTGCCAGTTACATCCTGTGTGACTGTGAACAAGTCATTTTATATCCTTGGGGTTCAGTTTACTTATGTAGAAAATGGGGTAATAAAATCACTTCATATCGCTTACATGACAGATCAGGATAACGTATAAAAAAAGAGCCTATTACAGATCCTGTCCAAAGAAGACACTAAATAAATGCTTATTCTCTCCCTGTTGCTTTCTCGACCCTTATAGGGTTCACCTCCCATTCATGGGATGAATTATCTCATTATTCTTAGTTTCATGGCCTCGTTGACCATCTTACAATGACCAGTAATCACACTGCTTGGTCATGATGGACAGTTCACATCTGTACTCTCTCTGATGTTCAAGCTTCAACGTTCTCAAGAGATACAATGAAGGCATTTACCCTGAAGAGCTGCTAAGCAAAGTGCCAACAGGAAGACCACCTCTTAAAAATAGAGAACCCCACAGGGCTGGCTTCATGGACGTGTGACCTGTGTAATCGCACAAGGGCGTGCATTTAGTATTATATTCTGCTGTTAACATTTTGGAATTCTCAATTGTTTTTGAACAAGGGGCTCGATGTTTTCATTTTGCATTGGGTCTCACATACTATGGAGCCTATCCTGGGACCCCACTTTCTCTCTCTGAGTTATTTTAAGTTCTTCTTGAAAATATTCATCAGCAGCCATGGGGAAAAGGATACAATGGAGGCACTTAACATATAAAAACTGGCTGCAGTTCAAACTGCTGCTGCTTGACAGAAAGAAAAACAACTTGGAGTAGATTTAAATCTTTTTCAGATTCCTTTCCTTCCATATGTGGTTACATTTTCATTCTTATTTTCTCTTTGTCTCAAGGGGAAAGATAACATTGTTAATTCTGAAGGGTTTCTATATAGGATACTTTAATTGCATTATAATCTGAAAGTTAGGAACTCAGTATGCTAAAAGGAACACTTTGTGGTTTCTACAAATTGAAGCATATTTCAAGAGTCCAATGTATAAATCAATAGGAAGGTAATGGATAAAAATGGGCCAACATGTGTGCAAGACAACACTTGTGCCCTCATATAACACACTGGTAATGAGCAATAGTAGCTCTCCTATTCAAGCACTGGCAGCACTTAGAAGTGGAGAAGGAGGAAAGGCGGAAATACTAGACTGTAAAAGTTTTAACAAAAAAGAAAATACCAATTAAATCCACCGTATTAAGTTGTAAATCATTTTTTCGGATTCCTCTTCTTAAGTAATTTTCTTTGCCAAATGCCTGCTATGTGCTAGATTTGCTGGGAATATGAGATGAGCAAAACATTGACTTTACCAGCAAAGCTATCAGGATTTAATAGATTAAAAATCTTGGAAAAAATAATAGAAAGACTGCTGCCTGTTTTATATAATATATTTAACATGTTCTTGTAAAAAGTGAATTTGTTCATTCAGTGAAATCGTGGTATTATGCTGTTATCATTTTAAAACACTGTATTATTTATTGCTACCTAATAGTGTATCCCGGAAAAAGATTAACTATATTATAGCATAGCAAGAAAAATACATTCTTTTTTTGTTTGTTTGTTTGAATTGTAAAAAAATACATTCTTTATTATTATAAGTTAACAACAATATTATAGAGTACGTACTCATGTGTCTGGCACTACGCTAAATACTTCATTATTTCATGTATCCTTCTAACAACTTCCTGAAGTAGTTATTACTATAGCCAATTTACCAGATGAGAAAACAAGGCTAAATAAATAGATCAAGGTCATTGCCTTGGCAAAGGAAACACTTGAATTCTTCATCATTATGCTTACCATCTCTTATTGCGATCCTTAAATCTCTACTTGTTTTTGATCAGTTTCACTTTGTATTGTTTAAAAATCTATGTCAGTATTTAATGGATATTGTATAACATGTTTAAACTACACAGTATAATGAAATATAAGGTGAGCCTGCAAGTGTTCCTGCAATTTAGAATGCAGTTCAGATAAGGACTAGTAGATCTGAGACTGTGAAAGACATAGCTCTCTGGGAAAACTTAAAGCAATTTTAGCAGCAAAAGGACAACTCTGTTCTACGTAGAAGATGACTGGTAACCACTTTTGTATAAAAGGGATTCTTCTGATTTTTTTTGGTAATATTTATACCAAAGGATTTTAAATTCTATTTATCTTAAGTTTTAAAAACAGAAGGAGAGTTTTAAATTTTAAATTAAAGCCTAGTAAGTAATATGCCTTTAATAAAGCTAAAGGGAACATAAAATGGTAATGAGTATTATAACTGACCCTCTGGATTCTGTTATAAACTACCCAAGATGGCAACAAAGGATTAGTGACTGAATAGCAGTTAACAGACAGGGCTAGCTATGACTTAAGAAACTTTTAAAAACAGAAGAGTGTCACAGGCTGGATTTAATGATTTTGTTATTTTTTTCTTTCCATTTGTTTATATTAATTTCAAGTATGAATTAATATAATTAATAGAGCATATTCTCAGGAAGAAATGGGAGGTATTCATACTATGTTCTATATTCATATTATATTTTATATAGATTTGCATATATTGTGTATGGCTGGTTCACCCAAATCTGAAAGTTCCTAAGGGGAAAAAAGATCCGAACATAGCGCACTTAGTATAAAATAAATAATGGCTTTAACAGTTGTAAAAACAACATTTTAGTCACTGTGGAGATTTGAAAAACAGCAACTCAACATTAATATACTAACCAATAACAGATAGCATTATTTCATTATCTCTGAACAGCATTCCTTCATTATTACTGAATTTACCAGACAACTTCCAGATCAATATGTGAAGCTTCAGCTACTGTATTTTAAAAAAGAAAGGAAATGCAGAAAGTGTTCTAAGTACAAACAATAGTGAAAAGGTAAGGAGTAAGAAAGAAATCCTTTATCAGCCTTGGAGCACACTTAGCCAGACAGACATGACTGAGCTACTTAAAAGTATTTTTATTTATATTTTTCTAAGTAAGGGGAGTACTGGTCAGTTATTCTTCTAGTATATTGGAGGAAATGAAGATTAAATTTAGATTAAAAATCAGAAATTCATCTGATATAGGAAAGAATTTCAGGCTCATAAGCTTAACAAAAGGTTTTACAAAAGGAAATTCCTACTTCTGGGTATATACATTATATAAAAGGAACAAGAGTATAAAACCAAGATAAACTGAGCAAACAATAAACAGATGAATATGCATTTTAAGATGGAAGAATGTCATCAAAGCTACAATTTAAGTACAGCTTAAACAATCCAGGTTTCTTATCAATAACATGGAAAATAAAAACAAAAAGTTTAATTTTGATAAATAGTGTATACACAAAAAGTAGTTATTGAGGTAAATAATACTTCAATTAAAATAGTCTAGAGGACAGAGCATGTATTTATTGGCTTATATGTTAGTATAATTCAGTATTAAAAATCATGCAACTCTGTGTCAATTTAGGATACATTTGCATTGTATCTGGTGAACAAGACAGGCTTTGTTTTTTACAAAATATTACACATTTATTTAAATATTAAACAGTGAGAACTCTAAATGATGTAAGCCTCATTCAGAAATACAGTACTTCAGTACTGTT